GGAGGGTAGATTTTCGGGATGGAACAAAATCATGGCACCGTTTTATATAATCATACTTTTATTCTGCTCCGACACTCTGGAATTTCTCGTTGTATGTAGAATAAAATTAAATGACATCTGTATACGTTTGGCAACAGAAACCTGTGGTCCCCATTCAAGAGAATATGTTGCAGAATGTTCCGAGCATTGTAGCAAATTATTATGAAAATAACATTATAACAAGATCAACAATAACAGAAGAAGCGAAACGCTTTCGTATCCCACAGAGGCATAATAAGCCAGTATCAGACATAGACGTGGGTTCATTTCACATTAGCGACAGACAAAGACCTGATCGTTCGCGATAGCATTAAGACTGTCGAGCACTGTTTACGATATATAGAGAACGCTTTCAATTTTAGACGTGTGCGAAATCTGCAGGTATATTTTTGTTAGACATATACTCAACAGGCACTCATTAAAACACGTTCGGTCCAAACACATAAACAGAAAATGTTTCGCAAGCTTCGCAATTAATTCTCCGTCATAGTAGATAAGGTAACGATAAAATGAGAAAGACGTCGATGAAGATGATGATGATGAAGGAAATGACCGTATGATGGGAGGGGTGGGGGTGTTTGATTTTCTTACGGTCATTTTTAATAAGATTGTGAAACATAGTATTGATAATAATTTATCTTTCTTTTGCCGCTTGTACCCCTCTAACTGCATGATAAGGGCGGTCGTGATTTTTCACTTTTTCCTCACGCTACACAAGTGTGTATGTGTGTGTGTGTGTGTGTGTGTTTGTGTGTGTGTATGTGTGTGTGTGTTTGAGGAGAGAGAGATAGTAGGGGTGGGGGAGGTGTGATTGTATGAGTGTGTGTACATTTACCTTTCTATAGAACCATTGGTACAGGCGTTTCAGACATGATGAGCACCCACTATACAGATGTATCGATAAATTGTGCAATACTCTCTCTGAGTCTAACCAAAGATTGTACATAACAAGATAGTTCACTCAGCCCAAAAAGTGTCCGCGGAAGTCCGTCCATTGGTTCAGAGGGCGATACAATATTTGCTTTGAAGCTCTCTTTCGTTTCTCCAGAAGAAGAACAAGAGTAGCGCAGTTTGTTAGTTTTACTTTTTTCGTTTTTCACACAAGTAGGGTAACTCTGGTAGTAAAGTCCGCACTTTTTCGAAGAGGGCGCCACCAAATTTTGAGAACAATTTTTTAATTGGCTCAAAGTGAGGAGTGAACTATCTCGTTATGTACGATCTTTGGTCTTACTACACTCGTAGACAAAGTAATAAAATATAACAAAGATCAGGACGACTAGAACCGAAATGTCTAAAAATAGACACCAATACAGAATTAACAATGAAGAATACGAATAACTCTACACTAGAGCTTCCGTATTCTCATTAAAGGGCAAAATTCTCTTTCTTTTTCTGACAACAGCAGGAAAAGAAACGTACAGCTTAAATAACAACTACAACAACAACATCAACAACAACGACAACAACAAAAACAACACAAAATACACCTGGTGCTGCCAGAATAAGACTAATAAGCAGACGTAAAGTGTCAAACTCAAACAAGATCCTAGCTCACTGAAACGTGAACAAAGAGAAAAACATTACAGAGAACGTTTGAAAAGGCACCACTCTATCCATCTCTACTCGTTCATTACGAAAACCGCTTGGTCACGGAAAGTGACCTCTCACTTTCACCCTTCTGTCATTACTTCCTGGCGTTAGGTGGGCCCATCATCACTTTGTTGATGAAGTCTGAAAAAAAAAGGAAAGGGAAAAAGGTTCCCCAATTTTAACATGGTATCAATATTATTGCATCGTCCACAACACAACAATCAAATCAACATTTTCCTTTTGTCAACTTGAAAAAAAAGGCTTCTACTTCTAGGCAAGATACCTATATTTACAAGGCCTACAATTAATAACTAGTCATAAGTGCGTGTGCTTTTTATTTTGAAAACTGATGGTCATTATGTGAAATCGTTTCCTTCAAAGTTGCCTTTACTCAATCTAGAAGAGTTTTTGTTGTTGTTGTTGTTGTTGTTGTTGTTGTTGTTGTTGTTGTTGTTGTTGCTGTTGTTGTTATACAATACATAGCACCATCATATCTTTGTGACATGGTTATCGAATATATACCATCTCGGCCTTTAAGATCGGCGAAGAAAAGACTTTTAAGACCTGTCCAAGCAAAAGTCAGAGACTCGGAGGAAGAGCTTTTTCACACCACGCCCCCTCCCTGTGGAACACTTTACCAGCTCATCAACGGGAGTGCACCACTTTAATTCAAATCTGCACTTAAAACGCATTTGATTCAGTCCAGCTTCAATCTGTAATTTCCAACATTCTCAAAACAAATATTATTATGTTTCCTCCGTATCGTTTATTCATGCTGTTCTGTTCTGTAACAATTTATTGTGACTGTGTGACGTCATCAATGTGTACGAGGGTGTCTGGGTTAGTTTTGTGGGATTGTCTTTACTCAAAGAAAAGATGTACTGGGGAGAGCGAGAGAGAGAGAGAGCGAGAGAGGGCGAGAGACAGAGAGGGAGATAGATAGATAGAGAGAG